GATGCCCATTCTGCCGCGCGCATTTCTCTCTCTTAATTTATAGCCCCTCCGTAGAACACCGGACTCCCAAGGAGCAGCCGTGTCCTTGCACACCCTCAGCAATAGGCGTTTGTCTCAGGGACCTTCCTCCTCCTCCCTCCCCCATAGGAACTGCACTTTCAACTACAGAAACTTGAAAACGAATTTAGCTTCCTCCCGTTTTAAAAATGTGCACAACGGCTTTTGCCTGCAAGAATCCTACGTTTGATGTGTTTTCCCTCCCCGCGAGATTGTAAAAAAAAGTTTGGGGTATTTTTTTTTTGTTTGTTTCCCTTTTATTTACTGTATGTATATCTTGGAATGAGATCCGAGACGTCCGAGATGCCGGAGGCCTCTGCGAAGACCCAAACTAACACCAAGCAAAAAATACAACTCCTCTACTACCGTTTTGCACTATTACTGCTCTACAGGGTTTGCTACAAGCTCTGCGACTGCGACTGTTACCGGTCCTGGGGGAGGGAGGGTTGTGCCATCAGAGAAAACGAGAGGAGACGAAGGCTGACCCCGGGGTACTTCGACAACGGTCACTGTCGCAGGAGGTGTGAAGGTGGAGGGGGACGGGGCTGCGGGGGGGCCGCGGGGCTTGGCTCCCCCCCGCCCCCAGGGCACTGGTGGGCGTATAGCCTGGAGCCTTGGAGCGAAGGAGCACGGTTCCTTGTACCCCCACCCTCTGAGGCTTATCGGAGTCCGATAAAAGCGTTGTTTAACCATGGTTAAATTGTTTCCCTTCCCCGCCAGAAACTTTAGGGTAGGATGAACTGAGAACCACCGCAAATTTTGTTAAAGATTGTTTTAAAGGGAACAACGTCATCCAGAAAAACTAGCGGTTTCTTAATCGGAATCTCCCATTTCCCCTCCACTCCCTTCCCAGTGCTCTGTATCTCGGAACGAAACTACCTCAGTCTAATAAAGTTTACTCTTTCCACATGCAAGTCCTCTCGACTTTAAGCGAAATGGAAATCTCTGCCGTCCAGGGGAACGCGGGGCGGGGGGAGCCCGGCTCCGAGGGAGGAGGAAGAGGAAGGAAAAGGTCTCCGGCTGCTACCAAAGCTCCCGAACAGGACTCCCGACCCCGCTCCCTGCGGCCCCCCCGCTGGCAGCGGCAGGATCGGGCCCGGATCGCGACACGGCTCTCCCCAAGTGGAGTTTCTGCTCAGTGCGACGAGGCCTGGTGAGAAGCCGAAAATCATCCTCATCCTCCCCCGTGCAAGCATCCCGGCGCGGAGCAGACCTGCGTTACTGACGCACCAACGTTAATCGGGAGGGACCCGGTGTCCGGGCTGGGGGCAAAGCGAGTTTCTCTTTTATACGGCACAGCTCTGCGAGGCTGGCCCAGCTCAAACCCGATACGAAGCGTCGCTTTGGTGGCCCCCCTTCAGCTTCCCGAGGCAGAAAGGGTGTTTTCCACAGCACCAGCAACACGCGCGCCGG